CTCAGGTATATCGAGAGCAACTTATTTTTGCTTTTATGCTGATCCGTCGATGTTCGATCGGTAATTTGGTTTACATTGGAGGTGCACTCTTAAAAGTCTCAGGTCTGACTATGGGAAGCAATTTAGTTTACTTTTTCGCTTGGTTATTATCTGATTGTTTTGTGGACATGTCCTTAATCTGAAAGTTGTGTATCCTCCATCCTACTGATTCTTTCAGTATGTAGGGTTTAAAACTTTTCTTAAGTTTAAAGTTATATGTATGTGATTGTGGAACTCAGGAAGTAATTATAAATGAAGTCGAACAAATAACTAAAATGAGCTTCTCGTATTAGTTAATAAGAATATAGAACTTTCTCGTTCATAATTAATAAGAATATAGAACTTTCTCGCTTTCTTTATTTTGACAGTTCTAATTTGCCTGTCTATTGCTAAAATAAGATACTTGCAGATTTTGGCTAGAGCTGTTTGAACAATTTTCTATTCTGTACTCCCCCCCCCCTATGCATTAATATATCCGATTTTTGCTTCTCTCCAAATGTGTTTCTTTTCCCTTTTTTTTTCTTTTTGGACTAATTTTGCATAATTTTGATGGTTCTAACTCTGTGATCGCCTGATCCATGCAATTTATTATTGTTATTACTATTATTATTCATAATTTACTGGTTTGTAGCTATTTGTGCAATTTATTATTGTTATTACTATTATTATTCATATTTTACTGGTTTGTAGCTATTTGTGCAATTTGCATGGATGTTTGTAATCAAGTCAAGAGTAGCTTCGAAGTGAACTTAAATTTACATTTCCTGAAGGTACTATAATTTTTCAGGATTTAAAATTATTGCAGGTACTTCGCTTTCATTGTTAGTTATTAGATTAGATGACAGAATTTTATTTGTTTTTTCTTCTAATTTGTGATTACTTATAGATAAGGGTCCATTTATGTTCAATTAATCTAATATTAATGTACTATTCTTTAGAAAACACAGTGCAACTTGTTGTCTTCTACAAAGCAGATAGTGTAACCTATTTTGGCATTCTGCTGTGGAACTATATCAAAGCTGAAGGTCCTCAAACTTAATATTCATGATGATCGGTGCGATATTAATTGATCAGCACTCTCCTATGACATAGCTGAATATTCTCTTAAAAGAAGATAATTTTACAATTACTGCCATATGCAATTTTTTATTGTCATGCAAGAAAAATATTTACCTTGTGTTACAACCTAGGATATCAACTGAAGTTCGAATATAAACCACATTACATGATATAAACATATGATTGATGGCCTCCATGATGTTGCTAGAAAGCATCTTCGTTGATTGAAAATTAACTTCACATGAGGAGATGCAGATGCTAGCTTTTGCAGCTCTTCAGCAATCATGGAGAAACTTGAAAATTAACTTCACATGAGGAGATGCAGATGCTAGCTTTTGCAGCTCTTCAGCAATCATGGAGAAATTATAAGTCAGATCACTGTTTGAAGGATGCAGATGCTAGCTTTTGCAGCTCTTCAGCAATCATGGAGAAATTATAAGTCAGATCACTGTTTGAAGCTGTTATCGTCATCATTCGCAATTCTGGTGCAACTGCAAGTATGCACCTGATGTAGTCCACCTCCCAAGATGCCCCTGTAAAGTCATTGTATACTACTTTTCTCAGCTCCCCAAGGTACGGCAATTGATGCTTTGTGAAATATTGAGCATTTAAACCAATGCTTGACTTGAATAACTGTTGATTCTATTGATATAAAGGAAAATAATAGGTTATCTCAGGTTAAATTTTATGAGAAGTTAAAAACAGCAGCTATGTGATTCATATACTTACTATATTGTTCTCATCATGTAGTTTCATATTTCTAATGTCTAGAGTCTTCACATTAGGAAAACATCCAAGTGATTTGTACATAGCAACTGTAATGTTTGCCATGTTGGTGTCTACTAGAAGTTGCAAAACTTCAAGATTTTGATACAAAGAATCAAAAAGTGGGCCTTCCATCATACAACTCTACATTGCAAATTACATTCATAAAGATAGTGTAACAAAAATTACGCGTCCGAGCAAAAAATCATATGGATAAATGCATATCAGCAGATAGGATCTATAGTGTTCTAATATAAACCACATTACATGATATTTACCACTAAGTTTGTGTAAAGTTGTAATCCAAGTCTCACTTGATTTCCATGTTCGACGTAAGGATCTATCTGCTTGTTTGGAGCTTCAAATGGATTCCAAACTACAGGTTTTATGTATTCGTGGTAAAACATCTTTTTTGGCGAGCAGTGATTTTAAGATTCTTAGTTATTGCGTTGTTAACAGCTTCAAATGATCTCCTTTCTCTTTCCAGAACTGCACATTATTTAAAGTGCAACATGCAAAAGTTTCAGAGCTCATCACCATCTACTGGCCTCTTCCTACTCAAAATTGAGACATAGCAAAAATTGAATGGTTAATTACAGATAGACCCCCTGTACTGTTACCTAATAGCAGATAGATCCCCTTAGCAAAAATTGAATGGTTAATTACAACTTAGACATTTTGGTTTAATTTGTTAGCTTGTTAGCTTGCATTTCCTTCAGTTTATGCTCTTCCTTTGGTTCATGTATGATGCTAGACAGATTTGAGTAACTAAGTATCATGTATAATGTTAGGCTGAGTTGTAAAGTGTGCACAAATATAGTTCTCATGTTTGATTTAGGCGTTATTTGCGTGATTGCCATTGTCCTTTGTGAGAAAACATTATTAGCTCACAGTACTCATTCAAAACTTTAGCATTATACTGATATAATCCTCTGCATGATTAAAGAGGAGGTGCTGAGCTAATAATGTTTTAGGGTGAAGAGGAGGTGCTGAGCTAGTATTAGGTTGTGTATCATCTAGTGTATTGATTTCCCTAACCAATACTCTCACAGGTCTCCATATGCTTATCTTATTCAGTCTCATTTATCCGACATTTTGGTTTAATTTGTTAGCTTGTTAGCTTGATTAAAAAAAATTATTGATCTGCTCATTTTCTTTTCAGGTTTTGGGCTCATATAGTGATGGCATATGAATTACTCTTGTGTTGCTGCGGATAGGCTTTATCATACGAGCACTTCTGAACTCTCAATTGCAATTTCTTTATATCGAGGATACTTCTCCTCACATGCTATTCAGTTTGCAAGTCTTTGTGTTTTTTCTTATTAATATTTCTCTTGGTATATCAAAGACCAAATTGACTATGTAATTGTCAATTGTACCTGCATTTGAGAAGATAATGAAATTGTTACTTATTTGCTCTGATATCAACTTATTCTCACTTTGAATATAAGTGAAATATGAAACAAACCTCAAGTGTTTTCCAGACTGGATATCTGTGAAATATGCAATGATAATGTATTATTTAGATGTTTTTTTTTTGTAAGATACCTGATACGTTTGTAGAGTTTTCTTCATTTTCATTTTGTTGAAAGTCTTGCAAGTTATGGTTGATAATGAATTTGAAAACTTAGCAATGTAGCTATCATCGCCCAAAATTAGCTAAATTTGTGTTTTTTTTTTTTTTGTTACTATTTTACACATCTCCATTGCATTTGATGTAAACAAGATGGGTTAAGAGAATAAATTTTCATCAATTTTAAATTCAAATTCATGTATAATAAAGTACCCAAACACTAGATTTTGAAATCAAAGATTTCAAATCCTTTCCATCTAATAAAGATATCCAAACAAAAGATTTCTTAAATCATGGATTTCAAATCTTAAATTTAAAATCCCTTGATTTTAAATCAACTTCCCAAATCCAAATCAAAGTTTCCAAACGCAGCCTTAGAGAATTGTGATTTACGGTTCCGGGTTCATTTGGATATATCAGGATTCTTCTGACGTTATTTACGTCATGTAAATTAATTGATTACATGTATTTGTTTGTGAGAATGCTGTCACGTCTCATGTTTGCATATTGTGCACCCGGACTAGTGTTGATTGGTCTTTGTTTATCTATTTTTTCTCTCCCGGACTGATTGATTATTTCAGAACCTCGCAATTCCAACCACTTTCTTCATTAGTGTTCTCACAGTGGGACCTTTATGATAAAGCTGATTGAATCCATGATGCTATCCTAAAGACAATTGCAAAAGAGAAATATGCAGCTGCTGATCTTGGATCTCGGTGGGAGAACTACCACAGCTGATTCCACGAAAGCAACGAGTGATCGATCACCTCTAAGACAAGATTAGTGTCGAGCTTTCCTGAAATGGAAATAAAGCTCGCACCTCAGAAACCTTTTATCAAAGTTTATGCATTTTTAAGTTGAGCCGCCTCCCTGTAATATTTGCTGATGCCTGAAGCAACCTGACAGTTTTTCCAGTTCTTATGGTGTACATGTTCTTGTGTTTCTCAAAACTTGAACGTTATTGGCAAGAGAGGGTTGATTAGTACGAGCAGTTAAAAGTGTCAGTACTTTATCATCTACAATGAGATATACTTGCGTTCATTTATTGGGTTCATCTAAGCCTCTCTTTATGTCTCCTGAGCTCACATGAGATTGAATGTGAAAGGTGGCTATATTCAATGTAAGTAGCTAAACTCTGCAACACAATAAGTTATTATCGCAGAATTGCACTTCAAGTTAGTTTCGAACAGAACATCGAGTCACATATTATTGGGATTTAAACCACCGTGGGATCTCTATTTATTAAGACTGGAAGCTAACAAATCAACCTGAAAATAACTTCAGCTAGAAGCGCCAACATTTATTAATTCTTAAGGCAACTCTATTTTATTCAGACTGGAGGTCGACTAATAAGTCTGAACGAGTAACTTTAGCTATATTAGTTGTTAACCTGAAGCAAGACCCACAATTATTCTCTATTTTATTCAGACTGGAGGTCGACTAATAAGTCTGAACGAGTAACTTTATCATCCACAATTCTAAGCTATTGCGAAAACACTGTGGGCCACATAGCATGCAGATAGCAATGAATTTTAAGCGATAACAACTTGCAGTTGTTATAGAATGCGCATTGAAGTCCTCCTTTTTTCTTTCTTTCAATTCAATGTACGAATTACTTCAAAACTTACAATGTTACACACGAACAAAGAACAGAAAAATAAAACCTATCAGATATTAGCAACAGATGACCACTTAACAAACCACCACCATAAATCGCAGAACGCAAATAAATTTAAACTTCTCATCAATAAGATCAAGGATCGGAATAACAGACTGTGATGAGACTTGGTCCACGTCAGGTGAAACCCCTTTAAAAACCAATGTGTGATCATAGTGCACTCATTTTCGGCTATGAACACAAGAACGCTCTAGACCTTCTACAACTATGAATACAAACCTACAAATATGCTTATTGACATGCAACAAGACTTCTAGGGCTGCTGGATCAAATCTTTGGATGCAGTATTAACCTGCCTCGTAAGATAAGCTTCATATATTTCTACCACTAATCTTGGATCCTTTTCTACCAGCTCCTTATACTCTTCTTTATCGGCTAGTGTGGCCATGTTGTCCATAATTAGAGACAGTGCGGCATCAAGCAGTTGTTTGGCATTGTGTCGATGAGCAAATGCATAGCTCGCAATTGCATTATCATTGTTTACTTTAGATGTCATGAACTTCTCACAGAAGGCTTTAAGATGCTTCACTTGGTATTTCTCCGCCAGGACTAAGAGTTCAAAAGCCATTTGCTCATCGAGAAGCACTTCTGCAGTGTACAAATAGTGTACAAAGGATCGAAGAACATCATAAGAGACATCGAATATCTTAATCATGCCGCTGCGGCTCTCTTCCATCTCATTATCCAGCATTGCTTTGAAAACTGGTGACCTGCTTATCTGAATGGAAACATTAAATAAAGTCAATAGGATATATTTTGAGTTAAAAGAACCAGGTATCTGCTATAAATAACTGAGGAGAACATTACAGGTGAGAAGCTCATCAGATTTTTACGTATAATGTATACCCCAGAAGCGAAACACACTAGACAACTTCGAGCTGTGTAGTGATAAAAAGAGGTTTGAATAATTATTTACTTAAAATACTATAAACATAGCAGAAGGAAAACTTTCTCTTATCATATGCAACAATTCATATATGTATCTTATAGACTTACACATGAATTGAGTTTTTAGAACCCATAATAGTCATGTTCCAGGATCATCAACTGTTTAATTTGCAAAACATAGTTCAGTTACTAGGTTCTAAAACGAAGAATCTTAAAGAAGCAAGCTAACCATAGGTTCCTTGCCAAGTTTCATACTTAGTTAATAATGTGTGAAATGATGAAACATGTTCAGCCTCTATTGTAGATAGGCTGCCCAGATCTTTGACATATTCTATCACATTTTTGTGCTAAGATGTAGATCATGCTTAATTTAATGTCTCAGGTAAGTTTAAGTGTGGAAAGTGATTGTTTGCCTTTTCTGCGAATAAAGTAGAACATGATTTAAGATAAAGACTTGTAGCTATTGGATCTTATACTGTTCCTTGAACACAACACTTGGCATGGAATATACAAATGAGAACTACTTTTCATGGCTACTGTTATTGTCTTCTGATAGCACAAGTTTTACATAGAGAGAGGCTAATTAATTATTGGGCCTTAATATTTTAAATAAAGGCATGTCATATAATTGTGTGGCACAAGTGAATTATCTTTCTATCCCACCTGAAATAACTCTGTGCTATATCAAGAAAGCCACTAGTACTTACTGCCCATTTTATTGGAATCTGACCTTGTATTATGGAATAGATCAATTTTAACACAAAATTTTAAATTCTCATTTAGGATGAATATTGAGTGATGGCAAAAGAACAAGATAAGTAACAACCTAGGTTACTTGGACACGGCGTTTTGGATGCTGTGTCCATGCCCGACACACGTCCGACATGGACTCTCCACAGCCATGGACAAGTGTAGTTCAAAGCAAAACCTGATTTCCCTATTAGTTATAGACTAAACAAGTTTCTATGGTAATATTGGGCTCAAAACCAATCAGTTTTTGAACTCGAAAACTGAAACTCATTACCTAGTTTGAAGAATACCCATCGTATTATCCCATGCGAACAAAACTAAACTTTTATTGTTAAAACCTTATTCTTACTATGATATAACTTGATTCTTAATTGTTATAGATAATAGAAAGAAGCTCACAAATGTTATAGATATTTTAATTCAATAATATTATATACACACACACAAACAAGTCCCTATAGTTGCCACTTGGCAACTTTTTAGAATTTTAGATATTAAAATTTATTTTTTTACAATTCAAAATAAATAATATGATAATATTGAGAATATGAAAAGTCATCTTTATAGTGTATAAAATACCCACTAAGAAAATTTTCATTATGTATATCCTCCAAATAATTTAGCCCATGAATTAAATTATACTTTTGTAACCCACCGTTAACGTATTAATTCTCATACAAACCCATTCAAATTCTCAACTCATAATCTCTTTCTCTACTAATTTACTAAAAATTCACCATCATCATCTTCATCCTACAATATTTTATACAACGACTAATCTTCAATTCAGAATAGAAAAAAAAACTCCATTGGAACTTCATGAGCATGGGAAAAAAGATATAACTGATTTCTATTACTATTTCACTGATAATATATATGCACTTCTGCATTTTATTTTAAATTCTACTTCCATTCAATACAAACAGAGTGATATTATAAAATATGTGATTTTTTATACAATTACCTTTTAGAGAATGAAAATCAATATGAATATGTTTATTAAATTACATTTTAGCATTTATATATGCAATATGTTGAATAAAGTTAAATCATAATTCAACAATATGTTTTAGAAAGTTAAATCTAACTCAACTTCTATCGACTAGGAGAAAGCATTTTCATCAAGAGGAATATATCACACAAGAAAAAAAAAGATGTAGTCTTATTTTATAACTAGATATATACTAACTCTCTTGGTCTCATTATGTGCATAGTAAGTTCAACAAATTTAAAGCATAATTCAAAAGTATAATTAAAATTGTTTAGCATGATAAAATTATATCAGAAAGAATTATTGTTAACTTTCTTAAATATTTATAGCTTAGATTTTACTTTATTATTTTGGTAAATAATACATCTTGAAAAAAAAATTTCATAGCAGTGAGTGGTTTTGTCCCCGTATCCTACATTTTATAAATTTGTTGTGTCCCATGTCCATAACTGTGTCTGTGTCCGCACCCATATCCGTGCTACCTAGATAACAACTAGAAATAAGTACAGCATAATCGCACCATATTACAAAAGTGTCTAAACTTATTAATTGTCATGATTTACCTATGTCTTGTAAGTTGTAACTAAGCTTGCTGTCAGTATAGGACAAAAGTGAATATACATAGTAACTGGTAAAGATATTAAGCAAGATGCAAGTTAAATTGTGTTGTGCATTTAGAAAAGGGCTCTTCAGAAATTTTGTTATATTAGCGTAAAATAGAAATGCAAAATGTCATTCATTTAGCCAAACATTAATGGGAAAGCTCGTCTAGGACTCCAAGATTAGATCATTTACTGCTACGAGCCTAACTGATAGTTTTGGCTCTTTCGTTAACACCCCTCGATGATTTTGAGTGGAATATGCGCTAACTACAAGTTTTTTGTTGCTTCTTGTTCATCTGACATCACTAGCTCCGATATAACAAACATATGAATATAAGATCTAGCATCACAATATAATCAAGCAGAAAAGTGGTAAGAGCTAAGTTAGTGGCAAGATGTGAGTGAAATCTTCAAATAGATTTCCCATTTTGAACACACTTCGTTGAAGAAAGTGCTCGACAATGAAGTGAATGACAGATATGTTGGATATGTTGGATACTGATAAATTGAGAGTAATTCAGAATGAATGGAACAAAAAGAAATTCCCACTTAATAATTAATTAAAGGTCTAAGAGGAATCATTCATGGCAAATGGCTCAAGGTAACCAGATCATTAGATGAAGATATGGTAGCACGATCAACGAGCCTAACACCCAGGAACTGAACAACTGTTGGGTCATACTTATGCTCAATGTCAGTCAGAATCAGATATTTGATGCTAACTTTTGCTTAATAAATGACCTTTATAATTATCAAACAAATATGGTCATATCTATATTTCTTTGACTACCTAACTATTATTATAATCATATACTGATTTTCAAGAAATATTCACATTGAGGACAGAGTTAACTGAGAACCAATTATTAAACTGGTGCTGCACTATAAGTTGTTCCACGGTGTATTTAGTAGTTTTAACAATCCTCTTCTGTAAGGACTTGAGAACATTGTTCTCATTCAGTGAAGTTGCATCCCAGCATCTCATGGCATGATCATAAAGTCTGGGTTCAGGTACATAATCTTCAAGTTATAGTATGCAATCCGTTTGCCAAGATAACATTATTCATCATAAAATTTACGTCTATATTCTTAAGATAGATAGGGTTAACCAACTGCAGTTACAATAGGAAGCAACCTTAACCTATCCATTACGGGGCTATCTAAAAAAACAAAGTTTTCAAAACTGAATTAAGCCTTGATCTAACGTGTGTTTTCATTCCGGTATACCTAACATATGAATATAAGATCTAGCATCACAAGATAATCAAGCAGAAAAGTACTTAGTGGCAAGATGTGAAACATCTTCAAATAGATTCCCATTTTGAGCACACTTTGTTGAAGAAAGTGCTCGACAATAAAGTGAATGACTGATATGTTGGGTATGTTGGATACTGATAAATTGAGAGGAATTCAAAATGCATGGAACAAAAAGAAATTACCACTTATTAATTAAAGGCGTAAGAGGAATCATTTATAGCAAATGGCTCAAGGTAACCAGATCTTATTAGATGAAGATATGGCAGCACGATCAACGAGCCTAACACCCAGGAACTGAACAGCTATTGGATCATACTTATACTCAATGTCAGCCAGAATCAGATATTTAATGCTAACTTTTGCTGAATAAATGACCTTTATAATTATCAAGTGAATATGGTCATATCTATACATGGTCATATCTATACAGTTTCTTTGACTACCTAACCATTATTACAATCATATACTGATTTCCAAGAAATATTAACATTCAGGACTGAGCTAACTGAGAACCAGTTATTAAACTGGTGCTGCACTATAAGTTGTTCCACGATGTATTTAGTAGTTGTAACAATCCTCTTCTATAAGGACTTGAGAACATTGTTCTCATTCAGTGAAGTTGCATCTCAGCATCTCATGGCATGATCATAAAGTCTGGGTTTAACTATATAATGTTCAAGTTATAGTATGCAATCCATTAGCCAAGATAACATTATTCATCATAAAATTTACATCTATATTCTTAAGATAGATAGGGTTAACCAACTGCAGTTACAATAGGAAGCAACCTTAACCTATCCATTACGGGGCTATCTAAAAAAACAAAGTTGTCAAAACTGAATTAAGCCTTGAACTAACGTGTTTTCATTCCGGTATACCAAACATATGAATATAAGATCTAGCATCACAAGATAATCAAGCAGAAAAGTTCTACGAGCTAAGTTAGTGGCAAGATGTGAAACATCTTCAAATAGACTCCCATTTTGAGCACACTTCGTTGAAGAAAGTGCTCGACAATAAAGTGAACGATAGATATGTTGGATATGTTTGATACTGATAAATTGAGAGGAATTCAGAATGAATGGAACAAAAAGAAATTACCACTTAATAATTAATTAAAGGTGTAAGAGGAATCATTCATGGAAAATGGCTCGAGGTAGCCAGATCTTATTAAATGAAGATATTGTAGCACGATCAACGAGCCTAACACCCAGGAATTTGAACAGTCAT